AAAAAAAAAAAGATACACACTGTATACAAGTACCAAGGCCTCGTGATAAATGTAATCATTATGTACTGTGAACACGTATTAATAAAAAAATAAAGTTCTTCCCTAATGTAAAAAAAAGTGGCCTAGCCATTGGATTCGGTAAGTCTAACCCTGTGCATCATGCAATGGTATTCCCAAACTAAGAGCTAGCATTCACAATATAAAGTTGACAAGATACCACCTTAAAGGTATCACAACTCAGCACCTAAACAAAGTGACTTCTTATTTTGATGAGCACACACAGAGAGCAACAACATCCACATAGACGACCAATGAGTCATCTCGGTATATGATATGGAATTTTCTTAGATGATGTAGAATGACATGAAGATCAAATTTTGTTACTAAATAGCATGGGATTACACTTGGTTTTTCCAGTCCCCTGGGTTCAATTTTATTCTTTCATACCTCAAGGATTGATTGTTAGTGAATTCCTTCTTAAAAGTGAAATATTTTTCCCACGGAGTTTAATTAAAATTCAGGGCTCTAAATTAACAGCACCTCAGTGCACACTAGGTATAAGAGACAAACACTTGGGTTATTAAAAGATATTATGTATTCAAATGATACTTATCTGTCTTTGACATGTCCAGACATCTACACCATCATTACAAAATTTAATGCCACCAAAGATTTGGATAGCCAGGAAAAAAATAATTTACAGTTCACCTGATAACAATGTACACTTTCCTCAGTCTAATCAATACAGTTTAAGATATACTGCATATTGAATTAGGCCATATGAAGTCGTAGATTTTTAACCTAGCCATTTATCCCTTCTCCCTCTTAGTCAACCGTTTCTTCTCAAAAGCATTATTTTCATCAGTTATTAAACTGTACTCTCCTCTCACACTAAAAATAAATTAAAAATAAAAATAAGTCCCTTCTTTGACCCCATCACCCATGAAGATCTTCTCTCCACTTTTCTCATACAAATCCTCAAAATCAACTACTTACATGGCTGGCTGCATCTCCTCCTCTTTCACACATACCCAGAACCATGCCATTCTAGCTTGTACCCCTCGCTCCTCAGAAACTGTCCTTGCTAAGTTCAGTAATAAGCCCAATGGCAACAGAATTACGGGCACTTCGTGGTCATCATATTTAACTGTTGATAATATTCAGACAAATGTTTACACTCATTCTCAAAAATACCACCTTCCCCCGCCTTTCTAGACCTAACATTTTCTTGGTGTGCCTACCATTTCTTGCTACTTATTTTAGTTTCTTTTATAAGCTCACCCTTCTCAAATTTCTTGCTAGATGATATAATTCCTAAGACATGGTCAGAGCCCTCTTCTCTTGTCACTATATCCTCTCCCTAAACAGTCTCGCCTGTCCTGAAAATTCCGATCACCATCTCTTATGTCCATGACTCATAAAATCATCTCTTCAGCCCAGATATATTCTCTAGACATGAGCAACCATGTGTGTAGCTGACATTGCCATTTAATTCCCTCTAAGGTGCTTATAATGGCAACACATCTACTGTATGCATATGGTCCTTCCAGCACCCAGTATTCCAATGCTGGCCCCAGGAGCATCCATGTAATCAAGCCGAAAACCCAGGAGTCAGACCCTGTCACTCCCACTCCTCTACCCCACAGCTGATCCATCACAAGGTGTTAACTATGGATGCCACTTCCTGTATATGTCGGACACATATATGCCACTGCATCTCCATCATCTACCCTAGTCCGAGTGACCACCATATTTCACTGAGAGTATGAGCACTTCTTCACTAATCTCCACACAACCACCCTTGCTTCTCTCCAGTTCAGTCTCCAAACCGCAGTGAATGACATTTGAAAAACACATCAGAACACAGCATCTTCCTACTAACTAAAAACCCTGTAATAACTACTTCTTGCTCCTAAGACAGAGTTAAACACAAACGCTACAACCCCAGCAGGGAACGTCTCATCCCATCTTCCTGACACCGTGTTCCCCACGCTGGCTGGCTTCTGTCTGTCTCTATCTGTCTCTGTCTTTCTCTGTCTCTGTCTCTTCCTTACCCCTCCACACAAACACACCACGTGGCCTCCAACCACAGGCCTTTCCCACATGCTGCTCCAGAACCCTGGAAACCCCTACTCTGGTTTTACCAAATGAGTCTTACCCATCCTTTAGAGCTCAGCTTAGGTATCACTTCCTCGGGAAGCTTCCCTAACCAGGACTGGGACAAACTCTCTTTGATCCATACTCTGAAAGCATCACACATGTTCTTGAGAACACTTCAGATGGACAATCTGAAATCACTTTGTATGACCATGTGACTGACGATTTCCCCTTCAACTCCCCTAAACTGCATTAGATAACATGATAGCTTACTTCAGGATCCCTAATGCCTACATAACTCCTGACAAAAAGTAAAGTCATAATTATGTTGAGTGAGAAAATTAATTAATGCTAAAATCATAGTTAGAATTAGAGAATTAATGTTGAAAACCAGCAAATCCACCCTTGTCCATAAAATGCCCAGCTAGTGAATATTTAACAAATAACCTCAGCTATGTGATACAAAAACAAGCTCTAAGCTGTGTGCTCCAGATGCACAATGCATCAAAACGTATCACAAGCAATAGAAACCTTGCACAAATGAAGTCAAAATTGCCTAGAGAAAGGATAGGCTGGTTGTTCTTATTAGTTATAAATTGATAACAAAATCTCAGCTATACTGTTCTGGACTTATGCAAAAACTTATAAGTTTCTTTGAAAGAAGGATCCAAAACATTACCTAACAGTCTTTCAGTATTGCCAACAAGAGTGCCCTTCCACGTGTTCTTTTGCCCTCCTGGTTTCTTGGCAAAGATTCTCAATGAGAGGACAAGAAGCTGCCTGGATCCAGTTACTCACAGTAAATGGCCCTGCCACTCCCACATGGATTCACTACAATGTCCAGACCTTGAGTGCTGCTTGGAAGGTTTTTAAATCCTGACAGATTAATATGAACTTCCTGCCAAATAATGTCAGCTAGAGTCCTGATATTTCAAAATCCCTCCATACAATATTCAAGCTAGAAATCCAAAGATCAAGAACTTGAGATTAGGTAAGGTCTATTATTTGTAGAGTTTCCTGAAAAGAATTTATGAAATGTTGGTAGCCATTGAAGGTATAAATATTCGTCTGGATTAAAAATTTAAAATAAATTTCTACATAAATATCAATCATTGTAATCTTACTATATCCACTTAAAGAAATGCAGCAAACATAACGGGAACATGAATTCATGCCGTAAGTTTCAAATATGCATTTTCTAAGAAGTGAAATTTAAAATACAGGAGAAGGGCTGGAGTTGCAGTTCGATGGTAGAGCACATGGTTAGCAAGTACAAGGATCCCAGGCACCAAAACAATAGCAAGAAATCAGACAGACAGACAGTGGCCCTGCTGTCCCCACCTGTGCACCCAGCTCGTTATAAAGGACCTTCAGGGAAGTCAGCTGCTCGTCCATGCCCTTAGGGTTGTCGGTTTGCTGCTTCTGGACAATGTGCCTTCCTGTTTTGATAACAGTCTCCACTTCAAGTTTGACTTCACTCAGAGTTTTATACAGTTTCTTAAAAAAGAAACAAAGAAAGAAAGACAAACTTCACATGATAATAAGAACTTGCCAACTGGAATTACTTCAAAATGCAGCATACACCAGTTGACAGCTAAGAACTAACAAGAAAGATCAAAGGGCATTATCTTTCTCAAATGTGGTTCCAAGGTCGAGTCAAAGGAAATCAAGGTTGTAATAACTTTTTCAAATCAGGCAAGAAAATAAACTAATAGAATTTATGCTTCTTTAATAAAAACTCAGATATGTGTAGTCAATGTTTATGAAAGTACTCAGTATAAACATTCTTCTACACAAAATGAGAAAAATATTAGGACTAAACTGTAGATGGTCTAATATGTGTAAAATTACATTTTAGGACTGGGGTGTGGCTCAGTGGTAAACAACATGCTTAGCATGCACAAGGCCTTGGGCTAAATCCCCAGCACACTCACACACACTCACACACACACACACACACGCACACACATACATGTGCACATATATTATATTTTTAAAAGCCCTAAGTGCTATGACTAGAAAAAAGTCAACGCTGGCTATTTCTGACTGTTGGAATTGGAATTATTAACATTTATTTATTTCGATGTCTTTAATGTAGCAAGTCTACCACAATGAGTGTGTATTACTTAAACAATGAAAATATATACAAAACTCAATATATCAAGATGGCTATTGCTACACAAAATTAGAGTTCTGCAGGTCAAGTTCAGGGATGTCCTCACCCTGGCTACCTCAAATCCAAAAGCTTTGGGCACCTTCTCTTGATGCTATACTTGATCATCCTAACCTGAGACATCTGATGGGACACTGTCACCTAACAGGGCACTGAACAACTGTCGTGAGACCAGGGACAGTGCTTGCTCTATTTCCCACTCTATTCCAATAAGCAAGTAACTGCATAGATATCTGCAGATATAAGTTAAAAATTTTCCTATTTGTGCACTCTTTTTCCCATCTAAGAAACAGATACATGGAAAATGCCGTTGTGAAAAGCACAAAGAATTCTGTATCTGTGCCAGACTCTTATCTAACAAATGATATCATGATTTTTCATGGTTTTCAAGCAGAACACCAAGTCTAAGATCGCACTGGCCTGGCCACATTATTTCAAAATTTCTATTTGATTCAACTAAAGAAGTTCAAAACTAAAGCAGTAATAAGGCCTTACATATCATTTCTTCTTGCCCACCTTAGGTTTCATCTTGTATTTAAACTCTTTATTTTTTCTAGAAAATGCATTTTTTATATTATAATAATTCAATCATCCATTCTAACTGTGGTACTTACTTTCCTCTTTTGTATCTTAGGCTTAAACTTCATAAATTAGAAGCTAACATTTTACATTTTACTTTTCTGGAGGAGGCATTTTTTTAATTGGCAATATTCCTGATATCTCTTTTATTTTATTTTATTTTTTTTTATTTTTTGGTACCGGGGATTGAACTCTGGTCCTTGCACTTGCACAGCAGGCAGCAAAACCGCTGAGCTAAATCCCCGGCCCCCTGATATCTCTTTTAAGTATGATTCATCCGGCTAGCTCCAATTCATTCTTCAAGGCTTGGCACATGGCTCAGTGGCAAAGCACTTGCCTAGCATGCACAAGGCCCTAGGTTAAAAAAATTAACCTTGGAAAAAATTGTATCCTCAAAAACTGAGCTCATCAGCCACATGCTGCTGAAGTCTTCCCTACAGTCACACTACGACAAGATGTTTCTTTGTTTACCTATTATACTGTAATTACTAAATTACTTCTCTTCTAAATTTGTTTGGAGAGATCACATCCTTTTTGTTGAATGTGTTTTCCACCCTCAGCCCCTGCACATTCTAGAGAGGGCCATGGACCCCAGGCTCCTCACCATGCACTTCTCCAGGTGCATCTGGACGACCTCGGGGTCCACATCCTTCACCTCCAGGACGTGAAGCTCAGCTTTCACCCCATCCAGCACGCGCTGGCAGTCCAGCATGCGCTGCTCAAAGTTAGCAGGTTTCTGGAAGAGCTGGAATTTTGTGGACACCTCTCGAAGTTTCCTCTGTTTACCGAAACAAAAATAGTAAGTGATTCACACCAGAATAACAATCTCTCACCTGATGGTATCAGAGTATAGCACATACAGCTAAAAATGCTAGGAAAGAAGCCACCCGTGAAAACATTCAGTAACATGACCAAAAGAAGGTCCCCCAAAGTAACCAGGTAAGGCTACCCAGTGGCATAAGTAAAATACAAAGCCCAGGGTCGTGAAGTACATGACAACCTGTCTTGATCTCAGAAACAGTAAATTTGGAAAATAAACTTGGACAATAAACTTGGACAAAGCTGGCCCGACTGGAATTAAAACTTCATTAATTTTCTCACCTGTTCAAAAAATACAGTTCAGGAACCCAGAACTCCAATGCCCTTTATCTCCAAGTTCAGAGTGAAAGTCAATTTCAAAGAAACCATTAAGGAACTAAGTGATGCTACATCCTGGTGCTCTCAGCCACACCAGCCTGACATGGGCTCTGTGTAGAGAGAACAATCTACATAAAGCTGACTTCTAGCTCTAGCTCACGCTCTCTTTTCTCAACTAGAAAAGTCACAGTCCATGTTTTTCCACTCTGACAACAATTTGTTTCTGCTGCCCTGTGGTACAATGTCATCACTCCCATCCCTCAGTTTACATCATAAAGAATACAGAGCATTCAAGTAAACAGCTCTTCCAGCTTTCCTTTTGCTTCCTAGCATATTCCTACCTGAAGCACATCCATCTGGCTTCCTCCTCTAGCAGTCCTGCCCTCCGGAGAGGTAGGAGGCTGAGAGCGTAGGTTCTTCCTCAACTCCTCCAGAGTGAGCTCGTGGGCTGAGATCTCTGCTTGGATTTTCTGCCAAGAGGTTGAAAAGGGGAGAGGAAGTGGTCTTTAGAAAAGCATATAAAGAACCAATACAAAAGTTCTACATAGTGGGGTGATACATGTATTTTCCGAGCATTCACAAGCTTTAGTAAGTTTACCATATAGCCAATAATAATAATAATAATAATAATAATAATAATAATAACAACAACAACAACAACATGGGCCACCACACTGGACAACTGCTGTATGCTGTGTAGAAGATAGTTTATTTAGTTAGCTTATGAGTAAGGCAGCTAGCTGGTGCAAGGATCCAAGATAGACTAGGGTGACCCACCGTACTGATAAAAATTAAGAATAGACAGTGAAATAGGACTTTGGACAAAGAATGAATTTCCTTAGGCAGCATGGAATGCAGCCCACTGCCTACTAAGATACTGAATTTTGAGGAAGTTGTCAGGCAAATTAACTAGTTCCTTCTGAGATCCCACTTTATTGTAAACATTGTGTAAAAGTACTGAACTAGAGAGCCTGAGTCTCAATTGGTCATTTTAGATCCACAGCACCACTCATGCATGATAGGTGAACACTAAGCAATTACCGTACCCTACTTGCCTGTAAGTAATTCTAAATTGAGGAGCCATGCACCCACTCCATTCGGGACCCCTCCTGGAAATCCAGGAGCTATTCTCCTCCTCCTTTTCTCCTTCTCCTTATTGCCAATGAAACTTTCCTAACCTCCTTCTTTGTTTCTCAACTTCATTCTTCGATGTTTGTAAAAACAGAACACACACCATCACTACGATCTTGCATTTGTCATTTCTAATGTTCAGGACTTATTTATAAAGAAGAAACTCTCCCAGCTTTATAGCTAAGAAAATCTCAAATTAAAAGTACTGGACAGTTGCCAGAGTCTCCCACGGGGAGCAGAGAACTCCAAAACCTACCAGCTGCTTCATGCGAAAAGTCAACCATTCTCACTAACTCTGGCAGGAGGATTCTCTGGCTCCTGAGGAGACTACTTGTGCTCTTCTTTCCAAATAAAAGCCCTTGAATGCATGTCAATACCTGAGCTTCCTGTGGAACTTGGAAAGCATCTATCCTATCTGTCAGGTAGGAGGTGAGCTGCTTATCCAGTTCCCCTAAGCTCTCCTGCAGCACCTGAAGCATGTGGTCAGTTTCCCGCAGGACCTGCAGCTGCTTTTCCAAAGAAATCTGCTTGCTCTCCGCCTACACACAGAGAAATTTAATCATTAGTTGTTCAGCACAAATATAAATAGCTGAGTATACTTTCTGGCTACTAAGAAAAGACTGTAAAAGCGCTAGTTCAAAACCTTAGCCTTCCTTATAAATAAATAATAACCACAATGATGACATGGAAATGTCCTAATATGCTATGTACCTTGCAATTAATAATTTGTACTTCTTCCTATATGCAATCACAAAATACAAAAATGGAAAGATTTCTTATAGAACACATTAAACAGAATAAAAATTTGCCATTTATTACAAGTTTAGAGCATTTCTAAGGCATCACCAGTGTCTATTAATAAAAATGTAAGTGATGTATGTCAATCAAATAAACATTTTAATCTCTTTTTTCCAAAGTCTAAAATAAATTCTACCAATACATACAATGTGTTCGACTATTTGTTGTACTTTTAAATTAAACTTGGTGCAATTTATGGCCTAAACATCAACAGTTATTACACAGTAGATGTTCGAAAGCATCATAGTATCTTCCCAGCTTTCTCATTTTTTTAAAAAAAGTGTTCCTTCTCCACACATACAAACATGCCTATCAGTAATGGATATGAATTAAGAAATTACATATTTCTTAACATTTTATGACAAATTCTGAGGGGCTTGCCCGAAGAGGTGGCACACACCTGTAACCCCAGCTACCAGGGAGGCTGTGGGAGGAGAGTGTCCAGGATGAGGTCAGCCTAGGCAATTTAGCAAGACCCTATCTCAAAATGCAATAAAAACAGCTGAGATAAAGCTTAGCCATAAAGCACTTGCCTAGCCTGTGCCACACCCTGGGTTTAATCCCCAGAACTGAAAAAATAAATTCTGATGGCCCTAATAGTTTCTATAGCAAGTTATTATTTTTATATAGAATTATCATATGACTCTTAAGGAAAATTAAATGTTTCACAAAAGAAATAACCTCACAGATAAATTTTTTAAATCTTTTACGTTCTTCCTGCCTTACATATGAGAGATTCATTCTCTCCTACTTAGTACTTCAAAACCCTCATGTCCCCATTAATGCTGCATCAACATTGTTCAACCAACATCGAAGCTTCCACCAAACTTCCAGCTGTGGTGGTACATGCCTGTAATCCTAGCATCCTAAGAGGCTGAGGCAGAAAGAGGATAAGTTCAAGCCCAGTCTGGACAACTTAAAATAAAAATGAGAAAAGTTTGGAGGATGTAGCTCAATGAAAACAAAAGCTGTAGGTCCAATCCCAGATCCCCCCGCCCACACACAAAAAGAATGCCTTAACCAACATTAACAAGTACAGATGTTACGAACTTTAATCAACATTAAAGCTGCATACAATATGGAGCTTGGTGTCATTCCATACCATAAACACCCGGCCACACTCACGCATGTCCTTCTTACCAGGTGACTGAGATCTTCATAGCGGCTGTTGAAAGCCTCCAGTTTCTCACTGATTATATCATCGAGGATCCCTCCATCAATCAGTGTCTGGCCAAGTTCCCGGATCTGGGTGCGATTATCCCCTGGGTGGCGCAGAACAGATTCAAGAGCCTGGACCATGGACAGGAAAAAAAATACATTTCCTAAGCCAAACGTACTAGGATCCTAAAATTGCCATTTTTAAAAGAAATAATTTCATCTTCTAGAAAATGATCTCCAGAACAATACCAGGAATTAGATAAATGACTAATTCCAAAATCAGCCACCATGATATTAAGAAATTCATAGAATGAGAAATTTTCATGAGTGATATATTGATTTCATTAAAAATTTTTCATAATTACCAATTATATGAGAACTTCTCCTGATATAAAGCTTAAAAGTAAAAAAGTACTACTCAAAACTTTTCTAAACTGTCATAAATTATATTACTAAAAACAGGTACTCATTTTTCCACACTTTTACATAATAACATAAATCTTATTAACCATAGTGGCTAAATATTATTCCCATTTTACAGATGGGAAAACTGAAACTAAGAAGGTTAAATACCTTGCCTGTATACAGTTGGTACTTGGCTCCAAAGCTATTAGCACTCAAAAGCCTTCTATCCAATATATTACTTGCCACCATGTTTACAAAACAATACTAACTGGGGGAAATACACAAAATGTTTAAAAGGGTTTATCCTAGAGTTTGCTCTACAATTTTGTCTATCTTCCATGTATCTGGAATGTATGTGTAATGGCTCTCAGAGTAGAAAGCCATTGTTTTATAGTAAGCTTTCCACTGTTTTTATTCTCCAGCCTCTCCCTCTGCTTTGAGATTCACATCCTGGAATGTGGGGTCCACGACTCACTCATTTCCCATCTTCAGGCCAATCCTCCACTCAGTCTCTATGTCCTGCTGCTGCATTTTTCAAAAGTTTATCCACCTTCTTTCTCTTTTTTCATTTTTTTGGTACCGGAGATCAAACTCGGGACCTTGCGCTTACAAGGCAGGTAATGGATCCACTGAGCTAAATCCCCAGCCCCTCTTTCTCTTTTTTCTTAAACAAATCTTGAATGAATTATATTGTCATTCATTTAAGAAATCACTGGTAAGTCACCATGTGCCAAACGTGCACTGGTAACTGAGGATCGAAAAGAGTCAGGGACATTTCTTGGCCCCAGAAGCTCGATGTCCAGGGGTGATGACAGGATCCCAAGCAACCGCTAACTGCAAACATGTGAAGATAACAGACTGAAGTTCACCGTACACATCGTCTGTGCTGTGCTTCGTGCATAAAAATAACACGAAGCAAAGGCAAGCGAGCAGCTGTCCTGATAGCACTCTCAGAGTTTTGCCCAGGGACAGGTGAAATAAACTGGAGGCACTAATGGTCAAACAGCGCAGCGCCTCCGAGCCTGCCACCAGAATGGGTCCCCGATTGTGCAAATGTGCCTGACTGCAGAAATACTTCAGCTAGTGAAGAAAAGGAGTTACAATGGAAACTACTGAGCAAGCAAACACACTTATCCACAGAAAGCACTGAGTTCCCCAAGTCAATGCATATCTGTACTGATTGCAACAAAAAGAAATGCCACCCAGAGCTCAAGTTCTACCTCTAGGGCTTCGCTGACAGCATCCGTCTTCTCGGGCAGAGCCTCTGTGCTCTTGACCCGCTCTTCCAATGTGTTTAACCAGGTGGTTTCAAGATCCAAATAGTGAAGCAGCTCGATCCAGCACGACCAGACCTCCTAGGGAGGACAAAGAAGAAATTTAAGGAGAATAAGAAACCATTTCTGTGCATCGTATCCATCAATAATAAATTCACATCAACGTGAGTACATGAGGGATTTAGAAACAGATTCAGTGGGAATTTCAAATAAATGAAATTAAACTGAATTTGTCAATAAATCATATTAGACCAATTAAGCCAGAAGGACAAAGAGAAATGGGCAAAAGGCTGCCTCACTCTTTAAAATAAACTGCAAGCACGTGATTAAATGTCAGAAATAAAATTATAATTAATGGGGAAAAATATGACGAAAAACATTAGTTTTTTTAAAACAGAAGGTAAAATTTGCTCATAATTATAACATTTTTAATAATTTCAAAGGAAATAAAATCTCCTGGGTCAGACTGAATTCCAACTCAGAGCTAACTGTTGTGAAGGATTTGCTGTACAAACTTCCCAGCTTTTTTCTAAATTCATGAGGGCAGGTCCGTGGAAGATGAGAGGCACATTTTATCCGAAAGAGACTTAGCAATCGCTCATTCCTACTACTAAGGTTTCTGTGAAGGGGAGGAAGCTGGAGGGAATGCATACATTCATAAACTTACATTCCTTTATTCCTTATAAAAGAAACTAGCAGACAGGTAAACCTAAGAGAAAGAACTCAACACGGAGCCTCCTGTATTTGCTCCCTTTTGAATCTCTCGATTAAGCCACAGCACATTTTATTCTGTGCCCCAACTGAGCTCAGCTAACCCAGACAGGGGCAGCAACGTTTTCTATACAGAACCAGACAGAAAAGATGTTAGGTTTGGGGACTCCATCTGGTCTCTGTCACAAACAATTCTCGACCACATGTGAGTGGGTGGGTGTGTAATTGTGTGTCTTTGTTTTTTAAGCCTTTAGAAATACAGGAACCACTCTTAACTAAGTATACAAAACACGTCACAAGCTCGATAACAACCGTAACATGTTGACTCTTGGCTTAGACAGAGTAAAAGGAAAAGAGAGGTCTCTAGTCCTCCAAAATTCTACCTGCAAAAAATCTCTCTGCCCAGATTTAAGGACGACCTCCTTTCCTACGGGAAAGCAGGACACAGAATCACTCCTAAGAGGCAGAACCAATCAAATGCCTTCCTTATTAACTGGTCTCAATTACCGTATTTATCTCGGTGCAAAATAGATTCAGAACAAAAAAGAATGTGCAGATTTAGTTTACATATTACCCTTGGCATTTTTTTTAACCATTTCAGTATTTAACACAATACAATCACTTGTTTTATGTTTCACTGAATTTAAATTAAATTGTTATAAATTGAATCTTCAATCTTTCAACAAGATATAACAAAAGTCATATTCATAGGAAAATAAAGCACAAATTGATTTTATTAAGGTTTTTATTAAAATCTCATAGAATCTTTACCTATTAAGATGATATTTTATCTAAAGTCTAGCAAAATAACAGCATATTTAAGTTCTTTTTTTCCTTTAGGTAACTCTCTACCTCTAGGCATGGAATCAAAAACATTCAACTCATCTCTCTAGAGTCATCCAGGCAAAACAAGGCAAGGGAGGTGCTTTGCAATATGTTCTGGAACTGGGAACTAGACCAGCTCCTACAGGTCATACGAAACATGAAAACCTCTATGTACATACAAGAAATTAAGTTTGAAGACATTAGATATTAAAGAACTTTCTGATAATTGGAGCCAGATAATCTTCTTTTTTAATAACCCCCCTTTGGTTGTCCCCCCCCCCCGTACTGGGGATCAAATTCATGACCTTGTGTTTGCGAGGCAGGTGTGATGCCACTGTGCTAAAACCCCCGGCCCTCCTCTTCAGTTTTTATCAACGTCTTTCCTGAAAACTGTCTTGCCTTTATGATCCAACATTTGAAAACACATTTTTGAGATTTTTTTTCTCCAAGATATAAGAGTAGTCAGCATATCACAGAGTTTGAATCTCACAAATGCACCACTGGGGGAAAAAAAAAAATCATACCTCTAGGGTGTGGCACTTTCCTCGGATTCTATTGCAAAGAAGTTGGTAATTCTCCAGCACCACATTCAGCTCAGATGTCAACTCCTGGCCACCAGAGGGCACCTTAGCAGCTAATAATTTGATGTTGTCCTTGAGAATCTTCACTCTGACCTCCTTCTGTAACACATCCTCTTTCGCCCTCTGTGCCAAGAAAGGATGGACTTGAAAAGCACCCTCCTTTCTCCGTAACCAATATCTTTCTTGTATTTAGGAAAAAAAAAACTAAACCAAATTTTAAACACCTAGATCCTAACTGGAACATTATTTAGATAATCAACATTGTGAGTAGTTTAAAATAAAAAATGTAAAGTATAAAACTTCATTCATTGTATGTTCCATTGTGCACATCCCCCACCAGCAGCTGCATTTAATAACACCAGGGTTAACATTTAAGTTATCCTAAGCTGTGTTAACTGACATGAAATATTTACAAATTCTGGGTCTAGGATAAGAATCTAAATGAATTCATTTTAACTGATCTCTGAAGGCCTGAACATATTAGACTCAAATAAATGAATCGGCACAAAAATCAAGGAGCATTACAGTAGAGGCATCCTTTAAAAAATCCCACAACTAATTTAAACATTTTTTTCCTTCCTAGGACATTGGTACATTGCTCCTGATCATGAACAGCACTTCAAAGATGATAAAGTTACACTAGGACAATCTGATCTAGAAATAGCTACTTTCTGACATTCATTCAGGGCTGAAGATGAGCAATCTCACATTCACAAAAATCACCCTGAAGCAGATTTTCACCTTGGCCTGTAGCTTTCTTTGCAGCCTAATGTTTTTCAGCTCCCCTAGGGTGGGGAGGAAGTAATTATGTGTGCCCTGGCTTTTCAATTTCTAATGGCTGTTTAGAAGAATAAAAATCCACTGACCATCAACCAATCAAAGATTTTAATCTTATTTTTCTTAACTCTCAACTACAGTGACATTGAAAACCTCACAGACCTATGCCATTGGTGTAAAAGAAGAGACTAAATAAGTGAGATAAGATAATTTAATATGAGAGACAACTTCTAAAATATTTCATATACTAATAATGTAAAAATCTTTCAAAAGGAACTACACTAAAAAAGATATTACAGTATCAATGTTACAGCTTCAATAATAGTCTTGTCACATTTACTTTGACTCATCTATAACTGCATGCATGTCATCTAATCCATTTTTTAAAAATACTTGCAGAGATTTTTGCTTTCATTATACTCTTAGGCAAGTTAACTTTGGGACAAAATATGCACCATGTTGTATAACTTTATAGAAAAAAATAGCTTTTAAGACACTATCTCCTTTGGCTTGAATACTCAAGGACAATTGAAGCAGTGTTACAAGTTTGGGAATGATGCCCAGTTCTTTTATTATTTATAAAAAAAGAGAGCTCAAGACTATTGACACAGGAATATAAGATTACAGGAAACATATCCCATGAATCCAGCTGATAGCCTTACGCTTGACTTCTTCCTACTACTCTTCTTACCTGTTCTATGGACATTCTGGGGTTCATCTGTACCCCCATGTGCCTGGGAAAATACGGATGACCTCTAGCCAACTTGGGAAGTCTTTGTTCCTTACAAAAAATAATTCTTCCTGAAAACTTTCGGAAATTGACAGTGGGAACCATTATACAGTATCGGGAGTGCAACTAATACCACTGAAATGTACACTTAAGAACTGCTGGGGTTTGTTATATATATTACCATATACAATAAAATAAAATACAGTTCTCCTCACATCCACTACCACAAGTTTTGAGGTCATTCTTGGTGGTTTCCAAGATCCAACCCGAGATTTTCTCCAGGGCCTTCCTGGACTCAACTCATGGCTCAAGTTGAACCAGTGGACTCAGCTTCCTTCCCTCACTAATATCATCACAGCCACCCTCCCTTTTTCTTCCTTTTAAATTTAAAATCCTATTGTGAAAGATGATAGACAAATATTGGTCATAAAGCTAGGCAGACAATTGGTTCATTGGTTAGTTTTGCGGGTAGTTGGCTGACTAACCAACCAGGGTTAAATGGTGGTTCTGCTAGTTGGTTTTAAAAGAGACAGAGGAAGCACAGAGGCCACCAACCCTGACTATCCCAGCCTCACCTTCATCTCTTCCACAGCACTCTCTAGCTCTTCTGGTGACTTGTACTCAAAGTCCCTCTCCAGGTGTTCCTCTTCAGCCTGGGACATCCACTCCTGCATCTCTGCCAAGTCTTTCTTCAGGTTCATGGTTTTTTCCTGACTTTCAGACAACCTATTTCTTTGAATAACAATCTAGAAAGGAAAAATCCATTCCCCCAAAACAAGTTTTAATACATTAAATGTTAAGTTCTAGCTTTTAATATTTAAAGACACAGCAATACCTTTCAACAAAGAGTCTCATGTTTTAACATTTAGGTAGAACCTTGTCTACATTTTGAGCTGATACTATAGAATATACACAATAATGAAAACAATTTCATAACAGGGATTCCTCGGCTTGGAAAAAGCTCAGTGGTAGAGGATTTGTCTTGAATGTGCAGGTCCTAAGTTTGATCCCCAGAACTGGAAAAAAAATTCCTAACTGGCATTCTATACATTTTGAATACAAACCTAATCTACAGGTATCTCTTTGAAAATGAGTAATTTTGAAAATGAGTAACTTTTAACAAAGTAATCCCAGCTTAGAAATCTAACCCACAGCAAATATATGTAAATCAAATAAATTTGTTGTAGCACTGTTGATTATGGGGAAAAAAACTGGAAGCATTCGAAGTGTCCATTTTTTGTTTTTAGATAGGGTTCCCATTGAGCTTTCACTTTTAAAAAGCAAGGAGGAGAAGGTTACTATTAAGATCACAATGGGGCCAGGGATTTAGCTCAGTGGTTCCGCCGCCTGCCTCGCAAGGGCAAGGTCCCGAGTTCGATCCCCGGTACCAAAAAAATAAAATAAAATAAAATAAAAATAATAACAATGGAAAAAAAAGATCACAATGAAACGCTGTTCTATACAATTTTGGTTTTGAAAATGTACTATGCCAGCTACAAAAAAGTTACATTACAAAGCAGATACTTGTCTGAATCCAGTTCAGTATCTGAGTAAAAACATTTCAGAGTAGTCTGGAAGCATTTCAGTGCTCCAGGCCCTAACCACAAACCACCCTCCACTGCGGGAGGAGATATGGCACCCAGCCCGGCCCACATCCGACCTGCTCACTGAGAACGAAGGTCATAGTCCCGGCCACCTCAACCAGGGCTCACTAGGCTGCTAAGCTGATAGTAACCAAAGGCCAGTACAGGAACAGGAAGGCACTTACAAGACTAAGGGTCAAGAGGGTTAGTGGCTTTCCTGTTCCCTCCCTCCAAACAGGATCAGTACTAAAAATAGAGAACTTTTGTTACTGTCCCCCACGATACTGTAGAGGAAAGTGCCAGCAACACACAGCCTGGCTCCCATGCCTGGCTCATCAGTGGTTCAGCTGGCAAACTCTCCATAAAACAAAGTAGATGGTAGATAGATAGACAGATAGATAGATAGACAGAACAGATATACAGATAATAGAAATGATAGATACATAGAATAGATAGATGATTGATGGTACATAGATAGGTGATAGACAGGTGATAGAGCTGATAGACTGATAAGCAGATGATACATAGACAGATGACAGATATAGATAAAGACAGAGATAGATAGATAGATAGATAGATAGATAGATAGATGGATGACAGGTAGATAATAGCTAGACAGATGACAGATGATAGGTATATGATAGAATGATAGATGACATAGACAAATTGATAGATGATTGGTTGACAGATCATAGACAGATAAATAGATGAATAGATAGATAGATAGAGATTCTTGGGCTCCATTTAAAGAAACTTCTATTAGTCCTTTCTGAATAGTAGTTAGTTTTACTATTTTCAAGGATCCACAATGAAAAATAGACACTATCACAGTGAGATTGCCAAAACAAAAACAAAAAAACTCCTCAAAATGATAATTTTTTTACTTTATAGCACTATCATGTTCTTTCTTTCATTATAACATGAATGTGATGAGATAGATTGTTTCTGCTGGTTGTTTTATATAGTGACCTTTTCTTACTGATAGAAAAAAAGTCCAAAAGTTTAACATTTTCACTAGTCAATAAAGTGCAATGTCTGGAACTAATATAATAATTACTAATACAACATACAGATGGTGCTAAGGAAACTTAAAAGTTTTTCCACATTTATTCCCAAACTTTCAGTCAAAAATAAATCACAATGAATTATATCTTGGTAATATTTAATGGATGGATGGATGGATGGATGGATGGATGAATAGCACCTTCCTTGCTCCCTAATGCCACTTTCAAACCACTTTCCCTATTTACTTCCTCAAAAACTCTAATTCTTGCAAATATATGTCATCTGATTACAATATATATGAAGAAATAGAAATCTGGCCAGAATATTAGATGATATTACAAAAAATTATTTTCTTAAGCATTCATTTATAGCATTCATTATAGTTTTGTAGAACATCCTTGTTCTTGGAAGAAGCATATAAAAAGCGGAGTGGTGTGTCATGGTATTTCTGGGTTCTGTCAAAAGCACATTTATAGAAAACAAAAAAGGAAGAGACAGACAGACAGAAAACGTGTCAAAACATAAACAACTGACAAATCCAAGAGTGGGCATACAGGTTTCACGCCAACTTTTCTTCACATTTGATATTCAAAATAAGGAAATGGGGGGAGGGGGGCAGCAGAAATCGATTAAATGATGCCAGTAGAAATTTTTCCCATATAAACATTAGCCAAAAAGCATTGTATTAAAAGATGTGTTATTTACAGGATGGTCTGTGGAATGTACATGAATTTCACATTTGCTCCTCTGGTTTTCACTTCTTTCATCAGCCACCCAGCTACATGTAATCTCAACAACTGCTTGCAAAACTTGAGCAATCGGAAGGAAGCTACTACATGTGCGGCCCTTAGAGTGTCCCCTCTCTCCGTCCCCTCCCCTCCCCCCCTCCCTTCTTCCCTCTCTCTCCCTCCCTGTGGAGGAGGCCGCCCACAGCAACCCCTTCCCTTCACATAAGCACAGGCTACTTCAAAATCATCTCAATCTCTTACAGGAATTATCTTCTCCTTCTAATAAGGTCACCCCTTGGCATGACACATCCCCCAGTATATCTCATTACTAAAAGTAACCAAAAACCTGTTCAGATCCTCCACTGCCAGCACCTACGCCATTTCTCTATTCCCTTGAAGACAGAAATTTCTCAAAATTGGTCATACTTGTCCCTGTTGCTCATTTCCCACTTCCTCCTCAACATTCTCCAAAGTTATCCTATCCCACCACTCTGGGGAGCACATCTTTTCTTCCAAGGTCATTAAAAGCCCTCACCTTGTCAAAGCTCAGCCTGGGGCAGTATGGAAAACTTTCTTCCCCTGGCTCCTAGGACCGCACATTCCCTGGGCTACTCACCTGTCTCACCACCTCTTCCTCCTTAGCATCCTTCCGCTTACCAGGCTGCAAGAGCTAAAAAGCTTCAGCTGCATGCCTCAGAGCATCCTTTCATTCATGCCAAAGTAAGTTTCTCCTCACCAAGTCCTCATTATTTCAGAAAAGGCACCAAAACTCACACAAAACAGAAGCTTTGTGGAGGTCCTGAGCTGTCCTTGCCAGTTCATTTTTCTACCACGAAGAGTCTTATCTCTATTTTCAGACTATAGTCTGAGCCTAGTTACTATTTCTCATGACCTCCACCACTACCTCCCTGGTACAAGGATTCATCCTCTCTTGGAGACCAAAGTAAGCGCTTATGTATTCCCCGTTTTCATCCTTGCCTTCCTAGAGCACATTACCCACATGAAAACCAGAGTGGCCTTAAAAGATCAATCATATGTCACTTCCCGACGCACAACTCTCCAATTACTTCACACCATACTTGAAATATAATCCAAAGTCTTCCTCTCCAACACCATATCGAATCCATCTTCTGTCTGCCCTCTGACCTCAAATATTCCTATTTTCCAGCCCACTAACTCCTCTTCCCCTATTTCAGCTACATTGCCCTTGTTCTTTATTAACAAAGCTCAATCCAACTGCAGAGCTTTAAAGCATGCTCTTCCCATGTCTTCATCTTCATACCTGAACCTACATGGCCTGGTGCTTACATTACTCAGTTTTCCATTCAAATTCTCCAGTCTCCTAAAGTCCTATATGAAAGAATCCACTGAACTCTTTAATTCTTAATTCTCGCTACCTGATAGTTTTCATCCACCTTAGTAGAATGCAAGCTCCTTAAGAGGAGGGTTTTTCCTTGTCCACTGCTACATCCTCAGTGCTTAGAATGATGCCTGGCAGGAGGTATTAATTAATATTAATCACCAGTTGACTAATAAATATTTCCTGAATAAACACACTGGAATGTGAGGCAAGGGAAATAAATGCATGTGTAAAGCTGGCAGAAAAAGAAAAGCTAAGTCCTGGGTCAAACTGAGCAATTAATGAAGAAGGAGGAGGACGAGGAAGAGGAGGAGGAGGAGGTATGGAGAAGGAGAGGAGGAGAGGGAAGAGGAGAGGTGGAGGAAGAAGAAGGAAAAGGAGAAAGAAAGGGGAAGGAAAAGGAGAAGGACTTTCTTCTCCAGCTGGCCACCCATGCTGTAGTTTTTCTGAACCATTGTTTTTCAGACTAGATGGGTTACAAATTGATTGTGCTGATCAAAACAGGACGCTGTCTTCACTTCTTCAAAACCACAGACAGTAAAATCGAAAAGCTCACCTCCTTGCTAAATTTCTCCAGTTGGGTTTGGTAGTCAACTAGCCTTGTCTGCACCCAAGTTTTGATCCCAGCAACTGGACAGCTTCGAAGGTGAGTCTCTATTTCTTTCATGTTTTTCAGAGATGATTCGATTATTTCTATTTCATTAAGAAATGCCTGAACACATAAAATAACCCCATGTTGAATTTATTTTTACATAAGTGGATGCCATAATTTATCTGCCTGGATCCCTGCAAAATTATAATAACAGACTGCTTGGGACTTTTAACTACTTAAGAAATACTGTGTCTTAAGAAATTCATCTCACCTGGGTGCTTCATATAGCCTTCTGTTAAATTGGATTGGAAATACTTGACTCTCAGTGGGGAACACTGTTTTTAATTAATTTAGAGAAGGCTCATGATTTCACCAAGCATAAACTGCATTCAGTACACTGGCAAATTTCATTTGTTAAATATGTTTTTCTTAAAGCTTCACCATGTGGCACAGTAACAGCAATATACAATTGGTAATTATTACACTAAGGCTGTCATTGTAACATAAGACAGCAGCCCCTAGGGAACTAAAGTTGCTCTTGCTTTCTCTGCCCAAAATTCAATAACAATTGCCAAAAATCTTACAAATGAGCAATCCATCAGCCTCTCATTAGCAATAAACCCAAAAGAGGCTTTCTTTATCTAGTTTTAATACCATGTCATAGTCTTCTAATTTTAATAAGGGCAATGATGACAAAGGAAAAGAAGAAAATGTTATTTATCCAGCAGGTTTTCCAGAACAGCAGAACTCACAGAGCACTGGCCAAGCTGCCTCTGCAGACCAGCGTCATCGCCTTGGGCAGCCTGCTCTTCTGTTAAGAAGTCTTTCACATCCACCAGCCACTTCCCAGTGACTCCTGAATCAGCCTAAATCAAACACAATAACAGAGGCGGATATTACTCGGTGCCATTCAACCCACTACATCTCAAGATATATCACTATTGGGGAAAAAAAGTAACTTTTCAAAACTTTGATAATATCATTTTCATTTATTTTATTTCTTTGTTTGACCCTCCAGCTTTGAGGATTTTTTTTTTTTGCATTCTAGACTAAAATCTTTAAGACATAGCAGTGCAGTAATCATTCTAAGAAATCTCAAAACACTGTCCATTGAACCAAGCTATTCTGCTTAAATGCGAGCAATAACTATGATTCAAAATTCAAATCACAGAGAAAAAAATACTTTTCTAGGTATAATCAGCTAAAAAAATATTTTGCTTTCCTATAACTTGGAAGAAGTTTTCTCCTAACATTAGCTACTCAGAGCAAGAATAAAGATAAAACACAGTGAAGGAAATATGATAGTTTTTTCTTAGTCCTACTGTTGGATGCCCTGTTTTCTGAGAACCCAGAATGGTGCAGTATCTAGTTCTGTTCTTTCATCCTACACTTACTAATCACCCACTGTGCTCCAATTAGTATGTATGGTACTGGAGATGAGAACAACACTCCACAGAGAAAGATCCATTGGAAGATAGGGATGTAGCTTAGAGATAGACACTTCGCTAGCACGAAGCCTGGCTTCCAGTCTTGAGACAGAGAGAGACAGGCAGACAGAGACAGGGAGGCTTCAGAGAACAAGTAGCATTGGAACTGGGTTTCAAAGAATGCAAAATCAAACTTAAGTTCTAATGTGATGGGCATTCCTTTTCAAGGCCTCCCATACCATCACTGGTCACTCTTAAATTCTTTAATGTTAAGCTATCTGTTTCTTTGTACTTTTTTCAAATTTTTGCTTCTCATTGATTCCTAGAAGTGGAAATAAATTTACCATCCTGTTTAAAAAAGCCCATTATATTTGATGGCAGGAATTGTTTCTTTCTGTAGTCTTCCGATGGTTAAACATTCCCATTTCCTTGCATGGTGCCTCTAGAACATACTACTGCACCAAGTATTTTAACTTGGGATGCAGGTTTACTGCACTAACTGGTTTTCTGTCTTCCCTTTGTAAGGTTATAAGAGATTATCCCAAATACTTTGCTGAAATCAGGACTTGCCAAGAATGATAACATGTCAGTATGATTTGAACTATATGAGTGTGCATGCCCCTTGAAGTGTGAAATTTTATCACTCTATGTATCTAATAATCTATTATTCTGACTGAAAGAGAGGGAGGGAGTGAGGGAGGGAGAGAGAGAGAGAGAAACTATAAAGACATGAGTTTGGGCAAGGCATATTAGGGGGTCCTTGTTGATTCCTGGTGGCCATCAAAATCTTTCCCGCACATGTAAGATCTCTGGTTGATCTTTTGTCTTACAGCTCTGCCAGGAGCTAACATCAAGCTTACTTTAGGTCTTTAGCTTTTAGAAATTAATGTTCCTCCTTAATTAGGATATTCATCCAACTCCAGCTTTCTGGTCCGTTCTCAGAAAGTCATGCTGTGACCCTGAGTTTATGGGCAAAAATCCCACTGCTACTTGGGATGCAGATGGATGCACCTAAAGGAGCAGAGGGATTTTTCCATGTGCATCATAGCCCAGGATCCAGTGCACTCTCAATAATGGTTATTCCTCACTTCCTACTTTTGATGGCCATTCTCTGATGAAGATGAAAGCAAAAGTGTTTGTGCGGCTCAACTTCTCCATCTCCACCACACTTCCCTGCCAACCACTTCCGCATCCTCTTCTTCCAAGAACCGCTGTGAAAGCCCTGTTGGTCACTTCTGCACTTTGCCCAAGCTTCGCTCCCCTCGGTTCTTAAGCATGTCTGTCACTGTACACACAGGCCTATGCAACTCTGTTGCTACTGTACAGCTGGGACATTAATTAAATCTAGTTTTGAAAAGGGAAAAATGATAGCTTCCTTCGCCAAGAATCGTCAGAATTTCTATGGAAGCATTGGACTTCAAGGAGGTTTTTTTTTATTTTTGGGGTTGTTTTTTTTTTGGTACCGGGGATTGAACTCAGGACCTTGTGCTTGAGAGGCAGGCACTAGAACCACTGAGCTAAATCCCCAGCCCATCCAAGGAGGTTTTTAATCACAATCAGCTTTGACTAACATATGCAGCCTTAACTACGTTCACTGCAAATGAGAAGCATTATGGCACCCATCGCCTGCCTCCCTCCTTCCTCTCCACCCTCAGACTCACACTCACTCACATAGACACACACAATTCACATATACCTGTTCCTTCTCCAGCTCTTATGCTTTGACATGAGAAAAAAGAAAAAAGACAGCAATGAACAGGGACAGCCATATGCAACTGGTCATTCAGCAGTGACAGAAGCAACAGATGGGCATCTGAAAAGCCATACTGTTTCACTATAAAAATTGTGCATGTGAATCTGACCTTGCTGAATTCTAAGAAAGACTGTGAACCCTGAAAGGGAACCCTACATCACCAGGCTCGGTGTCTGACAAGCCTCATGGCTTTGAGAAACTAACTTTTGTTCTTTGAGCAAAAGTAGCTCACCTGTAAAGTAGGAAAAATGACAACCTTGCTTCGTTGCTCTAAAAAACAGAGACAAGTTTGGACAGAGATGACCACAGAGAAGCTCCTAATAAATCACAAGATTTACAAAACCAACTGCTTTATTACTACCAAGATGAATGAATCTCATAAAAAGGTTTATCACTTTTAAGTTTATAGACACCATAGGAATGAACAGCCAGAATTGGGGTGTCTGCACAAGATCAGTTTGATTTTTTTTAAATTGCTCCTAATGCGAACACTCATTCTCTCTTTAACTGTTCAGAGGAAATTATTTGAAAGTGACCATTTGAAAGAGCTGTCGCTTTCACCTCTAACCCAATGTGGTCAAATGCAGCTCACCAGAAGGAAGTTAGGTAAAGGAGGGAGGGTCCAAACTGAAGAAATGCCTGCAGCAGCAGATCCCCTGGGCACTCTCACCCTATGGCCACACCACAGGGCAAGGGCAAGATCACCAACAGATGACCAGCAGCCATCTGTGTGCAGAAAATCACAGGAGACAGGCTCTGCTCCACACTCCCATCTCCTCTTTCCCTGGAAGGAAACTACTGTCCCAATCTGCCTGTGGCTCATGTTTCCTTGGCTTTTTGAAAACAATCAAAGCCAGCTCTTCCAAGTCAATTCCTCAGCCATGAGGTAAAGAAAAACAAAGAATATGAAGGGACTCAGAAGACAAAAGAAAAAACATTTTGTTACCATTTCAAAAGCATTCAGCTCTGCATTTATGAGTCTTTAACATACGATAATGAGTATTCAATTTGTCTTTACCTCCATCCACTTACAGAACAAATACATGAATATACAGACATGCAAACATACACACATGCAGGCACACACACACACAGAGATACTTCTTTGGGGGAGCTCATTTCTTGAAAGGCAAAATTTAAAAAGTAAGAATTACTACTAAATTTTTAAATGCCTGCAAATTTTAAACTATAAATACTACTCTAAGGCAGACACTTCTCATTCCTATTTTTACTCACAGGCATTTAAGTAAAGATCAAAAATACTACTAATGTGGTATTTAGGGAAATCAAATATTCTATTTCAGAATGATTAAAATTCTACATTGATCATCCCTGATCAAAAGCAGTGATTTATAAGCACCCTGGCAGAATACCCTGTTGCTGGATCACAGAAAGGGAATGTTAGGCAATCAATCAACCCCTGCAGACTTACCTCAGCCCCTCTCCTGAGCTGGGCACAGAGGAGATTTAAAGCTTGGTAACCTAGGACTTAGGACAGTAAGATTCCAAGGCCCACAGCAGCCTGGAAGACTTAATTACAGCTAAATTCTTGGCATTTTATCTCACTCCTCCTCCAGGTATTGGAATGTCCACAGCTTATTAGGCTGCCAATTTCTACCCCAAGACAGAACAAAGAATTCTTGAAAAAATGTTCTGTCACATAGAAGGAAGGACAAGGAATAACATTGCCACTCCCCTGATCTGTCTAAAACTAACCGTGTTCTTAAATCTAAGACACAGAATGCACCAGCATTCCCACTAGTAAAGTTAATATGTACTCAAAATGAGGGAAAAAAAACTTAAGACATAATTATATCAGATGTGTGTTACCTAGAAAGACGTTAATGCATTAAATACGTGGTTATTACTGCATTTTACTCTTAGCAAGGATTTACCATTGCATTTCCTACCCTGAGATGCTTCCCAAAATACTTTCAAACTCTGGCTCTTCCAGAAGGTAGAGAGCCCCCGCCCATCCCCTCCCACACTCAGGCCGGAGTGTGTCCCTTTCGGGGTGTGCCTTGGCCTGCCAAGCAATTGAGGGGACAAGAGTGACCACACAGGTGTCCCAAAGCCAAGGACAACCAGGAATGTAGACTGTATTGCTCCAGCCTCACCAAGAGGTATGGACGGGTACAAAGGCACCTGGAGAGCAATGACAGTCACAGCCTGCCATCCACAGACCCTCACTGTGCATGAGACCTCTCCTGCCCTTGGAGGGAGATGGAAACCAGGAGGGTGTAAAGGACACGAAGTAGAGCTTGTATTACTTATATAAATAAAAATTCATTTAAAAGTAAACAAGTTTATTATGTCCCAAAGAAACATCATTATAAATGGCACCAAATCTCAAACTCACGGTGCCTCCTGCCTTAAAGACAAACAGAACTTAAATGACTAAAAGATTATGCATTGGAGCACTGAAACAGAACAGCAATGCTAACCTGCACACCTGTAGAATATTTACTACAATTGTCGAATAACTTTTAGGAGGGAGGATATTAAATTTTTCCAAGTGAACTGTGAGTAGTAAAGTAACAAACAACTCTAAGGAAATAAGAATATTGTTTAGAGTTAATATAGCCAGGCATCATCACACACACCTGTAATCCCTGCACTCAGGAGGCTGAGGCAGTGGATTCCCCACAAGTTGAAAGCCAGCCTGGGTTACATAGTGAGTTCAAGACCACCCTGTAATACATAGAGAGACCGTGCCTCAAAATAACAAAACAAAATGCTTAGCAACTTAGTAAGACTCTGTCTCAACATAAAAAGTACAAAAAAAGAAAGAAAGAAAAAGGCTAACAATGTAGCTTAGCGTGAAGGCCCTGGGTTCAATCCCCACTACCACAAATACGTCCAAGGTCTCAACTGTCTGCTACTCGTTGGGCCTCTTCTGTGACTCCAGCAGAGTTACCACTACAATCTACAAGTATTTCATGTAACCGCCCCCTACTCGTGCTGAAACTCTATTTTGACCATTTTTAAGCAATTTTCTCTTATCTTCAAGGTCCTGCTCACCTTTACCAAGAAGGCTTCTCTGTAAGGCAGAAAGAAATACACGTGCTCACCAGCACATTAAAAGTATGTCTTTGATAAGTTCTAAGTCCCGACTTCAGTACAGTAAGTCCCTGACTTACAACCATGCAAGTTGCAAACTTTCACAGATACAAACAAGCCTCGAATTACAAACATTTGGAGATAGGAACAAATAGCAGAAGTAGTGCAAGTGTGTGTCGGATGTTGTCACAGTTGTGCTGCCGTGCGCTTGCTGTAGAGGGCAATAGTGCACAGCAGTACAGTGCTCAGTCAGAGCCCAGGATGTCCGGAAGCAAGAGGAAAAGCAGTGGTGATGTGGAGGGGACTGCTAGGAAGCGCAAAGCAATTACCATGGAAACAAAAGTGAAAATTATTGAGAGACTGGACCAAGGCGAAAAGGTGGTAGACGTCACTCATTCTAATAACACGAAGCACTCAGCCGTTGGCACAGTTCCAAAGCACGAGGCCAAGATGGTGGAACATGTGGAGTCTGCTGCGCCAGGGAAGCACCGATAATATCCCCAAAGCATGGCACAGTGATGGAGGAGACGGAGAAACTCCTCAGTGTGCGGACACAGGATGAGAATCAGTGTCCAGGCCCACTCAGCTTATTCAAGAAAAGTTAAAAGCCTATTTGAAGACTGGAAGAAAAAACAGAGCAAACCGGGCCCATCTTTACCTAAGACTCATTGTGTCAGACTCACTAACCTAAGAGTCACTTTGTCAGACTTATGTACGCATCCAACTTACAAACGTTCTCCTGGAGCAGAACTTGTTCATAAGTGGGTGACTAACTGTACCTAGTACATGTAGGAACAGAAAGATTACTCAAACAGTAGATAGCTGAGTTTTCCATGATGATCACCCTTTCCCCTCTACTAAACATAAACTGGTGGATCTGAATTTACCTCAAAAGTTCTCAGTTTGGAGGCCGTTTCTTCAAGCAAACATAGATCCTCGGAAACTGTGGCCTTTAGTTTGTTCCACTGTTCTCGGGCACCATCAAATTCTTGCCTGTACGTTTTTTCTATATCAGGAAGCACGTTTTTCTCCAAACTCTTTGTTTCTTCTGTAAGCTTATGTAATGTAGGTTTTTGCTTCTCAAGGATTTCACTAAGGGCCTGGAAAAAGTTTGGAAAGATTAGAAACACACAGCCATGTGGCTCTGCGGATGTTATAATGTGGGCTACATACAGTGCCCTAAAAAAGCAATTTATCCAAATAGAATTGTGGATAATTATCAAAACAAGTTACAGTGTCCCTTCATGAGTTTTGTGTGGGCAACATAATGTTCTCTACAATAAAAACCTCAAGAATAGCACAATCACTGTGGCCAGGGGCAGGGCCTCATGGCTGCTCAACTAGATGACCAGGGAAGTATTTTTATTCAACACTGAATTTTTAAATAAAAGTATCAATTCAACTTGTGTTCCTTACCTTATAAAAGATATTTCAGCAGAGTATGAAAAGGTTGAGAAGTTTAGGCTAATGATAATACAAGGAGAAAATACACTTTTCTTCTATTAATATTGCACAACCACCTGTCCTTGCAGCAAAGGGCCTACATTACAGCCACTAACCTTCAAATTACATGAAATTCTTGGGCCAATTTTAACCAAAAGTGACCAATTTTTTCAAATCACTAAAAAATTTTTGTGAAATATACAATATGAAGTATCAGAAATCGTGCTAGAATTCTGCAACATACTTACCTTTCTTCCGTGTAGGGCCTTCTCCACCTCTGCGGGATCACTGAGGACACTGAGAGAGGTCTGGGCCTTGTGTTCTACATCATTTAGCACGTCTTTCAGTGCTTTCAGTGTTGCCAAATATTCACGTCCAGGTTGGCTCTTCCTTTCTGTGTATTTAAAAACACCTACTTTTAGGTAAATGGATGCACCTTGAGACTGTGCTTTGAAGTGAAATAAATCAGATGCACTTGTTTAAATGTGGCATTCTCTAATGGGAGAAACTGAATGGGTAAATAAGGACCAAAACTGACGGTATGTATTGGGAAGTAGGAAGAACATGTTCAAAAGGGAAGGAGAACAGGGCAGGGGGAGGGGAGAGGGGAGGAAAGGAAAAGGAAACAAAAGAATAGAAGGGAAAAAATGAAAACAAAGCTTTTGTAAATAAGTAGGGGGAGAAGGGTTGAAGAGAAGGGAGGGGTAGGGGGAAAAAAGAAAAATCAAGATAGATCATGTACAGGTACAAATTCCCTATGATGAAAGTGATCATTATGTATACCCAAAGTGTACTGATAAAATTAATTTTAAAAAATGAAAACACTTACTTTGAGAAAATAATGCTAAGAATCTAAGTACTACATCATTATACATATCATTAATCTTCAATATATAGGAAGTGAATTCCAACACATCATAAGTTAGACTCCATGACGAAAATTAAAATAGCTCCCCATTAGTAAAATAGTTCATTCCCCTGGCATTTCTAAGATTCAGACAATGACTTCATTCCTGCAGATGTTGATGTTTGAAATATTAACTAACTCACTATCATTTTTCTTCATTTCATCGTGATGAAATGTCTCTCTGAAGCGGGAATGACAATGTTCCTTTGTCCCACATAATCTCCTCTTCTGTAATTGCTACACAAAGAATACCAGAAAACACAGGTCCTCCCCTAGTCACTCTGGAAACTCGGGCATGTGGACCAAACCATGCACAGTGTGGAGGCACTGAGCATCCAGGAAGCAGCAACAGCATCAGCCAGAGGGCCTGGCATCGACTTCCGACTCTAAAGTAAAAGTTGCACACAAGCTTCACTAGGTGGAAGGAAGTGAGTACATTTAAAGCACAAAGAGACACAACCAGCTAGCAAGCACAGTTAACTGCCTTCTGCTCCTTATCACAATGAAAGCAGAGTTTGCATCCAGAGGCTGGCTGACAAAGCGAGGTTAACTGATTTCGATGAACAAAGACATGCTGTCCAAATGCATGTCCGGAAGAAGGTAACAAGTCCATGTGACTAACGTCCACACATGCAGACTGTTAACATTCTACCAGTCTACACCAGCCAAAGGAAGACGGAGGGTAAATGCACGGCTTCTGAGTATGTACTACCCAGACAAAACATGACACAACAGCTGGGGATTTAGCTCAGTGGCACTGTGCCTGGCTCACAAGTGCAAGGTCGTGAGTTCGATCACCGGCACCAAAAAAAAAAAACATAACACAACATATGCCTGAACTTAAACAGCTGCTAAGGAGGAAAAAAAAAAAAAGACAATAACAACCAAAAAAAGTAACCTATAAGGAATGACTTTTGAAACCTTTGACAGTGAACTTTCCAAAACCAGGTTTATTCCAAAAAGAACCCATCAACATTTTTCAGATTCTAGAAAAGGAATATGATTTCTTTTAAAAGAGGCGTGGTATTGCTGAAACTTTAACCATTTGGAGAAAACAAAAATGGGTGGTCAGATTTTAGTCTGAGAATGACCAAAGAAAGAAACAACTCTGTTTCTCCTTTAAAAATCTCTTTAAGGGCTGTGGCCAGGGAGGGTGTAACTCAGTAACAGAGCACTTCCCCAGCATTATGAACAAACACAAAAAAAACTTCAGAGACAAACTACAAAAATGGGAAACAAATTTTACCAGCTGTTCCTCAGACAAAGGACTACTAACTAGAATATATAAAGAACAGACATTTCTCAGACAAAGAAGTAAAAGTAGCAAATAAACATATGAAAAAATGTCCAACATCACTGGTCATTCAAGAGATGCAGATGAAAACAACACTGAGATTCCATCTCACCCCAGAAAGAATGGCTGCTATCAAGAAATCAACCAGTAACAAATGCTGGCAGGGTTGTGGGGAAAGAGGAACCCTGCTCCACTGCTGGTGGGAG